GTGTTTGTCGAGATGAGACGGCACGAATGCTTGCCTGATGGGATTACGTACGCTGCTTTGATCGGAGGGTTCGCAAAATGCGGAAAGATCGATAGAGCTTTCGAGTTTCTTGATGCGATGACGAAGAATGGGTGCAGGAAGAGCCCGAATGCTTATTTCCCGATCTTTGTAGCGCTCGAAAAGAGGGAAGATCTCGAGCAATGCCTGGAATTGATGAGTAGAATGTCGAACGACAAATGCTTTCCTGATTTACACATATACAACACTGTTATAAGATTGGCTTNGGCGAGCTTGATCAAGCGGCCGAGCTGTGGAACGAGATGGAAGCGAGCGGGCTCAGCCCAGGTCTCGACTCCTTCGTGATCATAATCCACGGATTTCTCGGCCAGAACTCGCTCATCGGGGCTTGTAAACATTTCAGAGAAATGGTAGGAAGAGGACTGCTATCGACGCCACAGTACGGAATCATGAAGGACCTGTTGAATTCTCTTCTTAGAGATGAAAAGCTCGAATTGGCAAAGGAAGTTTGGGGCTTGATTGTGAGCAAAGGAGGGAAGCTCAATGTGTACGCTTGGACTATCTGGATACATGCTCTGTTTGCTAAGAAGCATGTTAAAGAGGCTTGTTCATATTGCATAGAGATGATGGAGGCTGGAATTATGCCTCAGGCCGATACGTTCGCAATGCTGATGAAGGGTTTGAAGAAGATGTATAATAGGGTGATAGCGGCGGAGATAACGGAGAAAGTGAGGGTGATGGCGGAGGAGAGGAATGTGAGTTTTAAGATGTATAAGAGGAGGGGAGTTGTTGATTTGGTGGAGAAGAAGAAGAGGAAGAAGAAGATGGAGAGGAGGAAGGGGAAGGGGTCGAGAGGGCGAGCGGGTGGTCGAGGACATAGTAGTCGGAGGAGGGAGAATGTTTTGAGTCTTTATAATGAGGAAGATCCTTAGCATGAAGATGCAAGATTTCTTCAATGGTTTGGGATTTTGAGGAAACCAAGCGATTGAGATGGGAGTATTTGACGCAGTGACGTTGAGAAGGCCCTCGGCTAAAAGGCGAGAGCTCTCCGAATTTGCCGTATGTAAAACAAACAGCATAATATTTCTAGTTGTGGAGAATTGCAATCCTTGTATTTGGCGTGAATGATAATTTAACTAATAAGCTTATCATGTGTGTTTTAATATGATAGATACAGTTTTTCACATGGCTTCTTTGTCACAATAGATTGAACACCAAAGATAATCTTCTGAAAAAAGGGTGGCAAGGTATTTCGATGTGTCCTTTTTGCTCTCTTCAACTGGAAACTAGAGACCATCTTTTCTTTTCTTGCCCATTGTCTAATCAGGTCTGGGATCATTTCAGAAATTACTTATTTTCATTTCAATGGCCTTCTTCTCTTGGAGATTTTATTCAAATCTTGGTGAAATTGCAAAGTACTAAAGGGATTCTTTGGCGTTCTATCTTTTCATCAATATGTTGGAGTATTTGGATTGCAAGGAATAAATATCTTTTCCAGCAAAAAAATTTCAGTCATCTATCTATCATTAACAATGCAATCTCTTGTTTATATGATTGGTCAGGATCTAAATCGGGTTCAAGAGCTCAACAAGTTTTGGATATGCTGGGAAACAATCCTCTTCCTCGAAGCAGCTTATGATATGTGCAGCACAATCAGCTTATATAGCTTTTGGGGGAGTTTTATTGTATATATTATATGGTTGTTGTTAATACTTTTGTAACGTGTTTGACATCAGTACTTTAGTTCAAATAACTATATGTATGGCTGGCTTTGGTTCTTTTTTGTATCTATGTCAACGGTGAATGACGGCAAGGCCCTCTCTTCACCTTCATAGATCCCTGAAAGAAGAAGGTCATACATTCCTAGTCATGTGAACTAGTGCTACTGTTATCAAACATAAGGATACATTTCGTATCCAACTTTTGTACAAAACACTTTTATTTTAATTGAACAGGGTTTATCCCTTGTTTTTCTGTCAAAAAAAAAAATATGATAGACCCTTAAGTATTTTAATTTGTTTACTCAGTATAAGATGTCTACTATATATTAATCCTGACGATAAAGAGACTGTTTTTGCTGTAAAAGCTGCTGATTGTTGTAATATACTAAAGAAATGAAATAAGAAACAAGAGATAAGAAAAGAAGAGAAATTGTAATCTCTTATTCATCATCTTCCATTTCCATACATCGTACAATTTATAGATACATGATGGAATACAAAAGGACATGAAATTAATAGTCCACATACAAAGTAATGTCCACATACATTTTGTCTTTTAGATTTCCACAAAATGTCACTTAGATTTCAACACTCCCCCTTGGATATTACTTCGAAATGTCAATGCCTCGTTTAAAACCTCGCTAGAAAAACCCAGTGGGATAAAAACTAGTCGAGGAAAAGAGTACACGACATTAGTAGATTCTTGTTGCATTAGTTGCCTCATTAAAAACCTTTAACTAAGAAAACCCTATGGGACAAAACTTAGTAAAGGGAAAAAGAGTACAACTATAGATCTTCGGGATCCAAACTTGTGTTGCATTAGTTGCCTCATTAAAAACCTTTAGCTAAGAAAACCATGTGGGACAAAACTTAGCAAAAGGAAAAAAGAGTACAACTATAGTCCTTCAAGGCACAATCTTCGGGATTACATTGAAAATTCGCTCCCCTGATGATGATAATCTTCTGAGTCTATGCTAAGAAAAACCCAGTGGGACAAAACTTAGCGAAAAGGGGCAAATTATGATAATAGACCTTCAGGGCCCAATCTTCAGGATTGTTCTTTAAGAATGTGCTCCCCCTGAAGAAGATAGTCTTTTAAGCCTATGCATATTGTGAACAAATTTCTCATAAGTTGACGTAGGCATAGATTTAGTGAACAAATCTGCAAGATTGTCACTTGAACGAACTTTTTCGATGGTGATTTCACCATTCTTTTGGAGCTCATGTGGATAAAAGAATTTTGGCGTAATATATTTTGTCATGGTTCCTTTTACATATCCACTGCTCATTTGTGCAACACAAGCTGCATTGTCCTCATAAAGGACAGTGGGGGGAATATCATCTTTTGCTAGACCACACGAGCCACAAATATGTCGTATCAACGATCTTAATCATACACATTCTCGTGAGGTCTCATATAAAGCGATAATCTCTGAGTGGTTAGAAGAAGTAGTCACCATGGTCTGCTTAACAGACCTCTAAGAAATGACAGTACCACCACAGAGAAAAACATAACCAGTCTAGGATCTGGCATTATGGGGATCAGATATGTAGCCAGTGTCCTAATAGCCCACCAATATCATATCTTGGTTTCTTTTATAGAATAGTCCAAGACCTTTTGTACCTTGAAGATAGCGAAGGAAATGTTTAACACCATTTCATTGCTTCCTTATAGGATAAGCACTATACCTTGCTAGCAAGTTCACCGCAAATGCAATATCAGGCCTGGTGCAATTTGTGAGATAGAGAAGTGCTCCAATGGCGCTCAAATAAGGATCTTCTGGCCCTAATATTTCTTCATTATCTTCTTTGGGTCTAAATGGGTCTTTATCCACTTTAAGGGACCGGACGACCATTGGTGTGCTAAGTGGATGAGATTTATCCATATAAAATGTTTCCAAAAACTTTTTCACATAGGTTGACTGGTGTAGAAAAATTCCTTCTGGGAAAATGCTCGATCTGCAGGCCGAGACAAAACTTGGTTTTTCCCAAGTCTTTTATTTCAAACTCCGTCTTTAGGCATGAGCTAGCTTCTGTAAGCTCCTTGTGCGTTCCAATAACATTTATATCATTAATATAGACTGATATAATACAGAAGCCATTTTCAAATTTCTTTATAAACACACAAGGGCATACATCATTATTTGCATATCTCCTCTTCAGGAAGAACTTACTCAGTCGGTTATACTACGTTCTACCCGACTGTTTCAAGTCGTATAACGACCTTTATAATTTAATGTTATACATGTTGAGATTCTCATTTACTCTTAATTCAAGAATTTTAAGTCCATCAGGGACTTTCATATAAAAATATTAGCGTCTAATGACTCATATAAAAATGTGGTCATGACGTACATATACTGCATATAGAAATTCATAGTTTCTGCCATATGTATTAACTTGCGGAACGTAATACAATCACTAATAGGAGAATATTTTACATCTAAATCGATGTCAGGTCTCTGCGTGAACCCATTGAGCTATGAAACTCGCTTTATATCTCACCACGACCCATTTATACCCTGCAGGGATATATGAACTACAGGTTCAAAATACTTTAGCGAGTTCAGCTCAGCCTTAATTGCTACTTTCCATCTCACCTAGTCCGAGTGCTTCAAGCACTCTATTACTGACTTAGGTTCTGGATCCAGATTATTTTCAGAGATAGTAAGAGCAACTGTAGAGGCAATTATGTTGTCGACAACTTTTATATTTATATTATATATTTCTCCTTTTTCACAAATTCGTGGCCACTTCAATTCTTATTTTATGTCAACCAAATCCTCGCCATTTCCCTTAACGTTTGGATTTGGCCGTTCCGCATCTCCAGTATTGTAATTATCTAGTGCACGTGCAATTTACTGGAGATTCCATCTTCAGGATGGACCTCTTCTGGAGGTTATGGGAGTGACTGTCTTTATATATATATAATTTAGTTTGCCGCGGATTTATCTTTTACACTAACATGTTTTATATGCTTCTAGCACAGTATGCTTCTGGCATACCAAATCATCAATGATATATTCAACATGAATATGGGGCTTAGTCACTCTTTTCTTAGCAGATTATCATGTGAACTTCTGGTTCAGTTTGACTAGTACGTGGATATAAATATTGAAGATCTTTTTCACCAATGGAATTTCTTGACATTATTTTGTATTTTGGGCACTAATCTCCCCCTAATGTCGAGAATTGATCTTCAATGAAAATACAGTCAGCGTACCAATTATAAATTGATCCCCTAACATGGGCCATAGGTACTAAATTATTGACGGAGTTTCATAAATAATGTATGTACCTTCACCGAGGTCCCATAGAGGTACGCTATGGTGGTGATATAGAAACATGGACTGCAAATAAAGAACACGCAGATGGGAAATGTTTCGCTTCTTCACCACGTATTACATAAAGGGGGGAAAATTGTGATATGCAGTTGGTCGGATTTGGTTTGAATGCCCCATTTAATTTAAGGAAATCCGACAGATCATATTTTGCCCAAGATGACCCAATCACTCATGCCAGAATTTAAAAGAATTTGGGTCCCTAAATCTCAAACTTATCGCAACATGGTGTATTTTAGGTCAGACAAATTCTAAAATATACACATATGAATAAAAAACACATAAGTTCACTGATGCGGCATAATTATGTACCAAAATTACAAGCATATAATCCAAATATAGAAAAACCAAATAGTTTACCTTGACCACCTCAATAAGATCTACTACCTCCCCCTCGTCCGAGCTTATGAATATTAATTTGAATTATGACATGTGCTTCAGGTACTACGACTGAACCAATTAAACTTGCATTATGGTTTCTCACAACATCTGGTTGCGTTTTTAACAACTATTAATGCAATGATTAGTTCATAATGCTTAATATAATTTTTAGTTGTACTATTGTAAGAGTACAATGTTACTTGTTGAATTCTTAATATAATTTTTAGTTGTACTATTGTAAGAGTACAATGTTACTTGTTGAATTGTATTCAGTCGAGGATTTAAAATCCAGTACTATTGTAAGAGTACAATGTTACTTGTTGAATTGTATTCAGTCGAGGATTTAAAATCCAAAAAAAATGGTTACAGGATAAGATCTCCTACTATGTTCATAGTCTTCCCCTTGTCCACGCGTATAAGTAATTTTCTGAATTATAGCATGTGATACAAACACAACTCGCAAGCTAACTAGTCTGACATTGTGATTTCTAATCATCAATTTGTTGTGCTTCTCTGCGACTACTAATGTAGATATCAATTCGGAATGCTAAGTGCAATTCTTGGTCATGTACTGCTGCTGGAGTACAATATTATTTGTGTGGAATGGGGAAAAGAACTTTTTGATCAAATTATTGGCTTCCATAGATCAAAGCTATCCTTCAGGGATTGCCTAGAAAATATTCACAGGTATAATACTATCATATATCACAGGTATGTCCAGTAAAAAATCACAAGTATAATCATGCAAAAATCACAGGTATGTCCAGTAAAAAATGAACGTT